ACGTTTAATCATCTCTGCTATTTAACAAAAGTCGCCAGAAACACTTACAGGTGGCCATTGCGAATTTTCTATGGCATGTTGGATATTGCAGGAGTCAACAGTTACGTCATACATAAACTAAATGTTAATAAACCACTGTATCTATCAAAGTTTCTAAACTTTTAATTAAAAATTGTTTAAAAGACCGAATGTATAATAATCATTTTACTTAAAATTGTACATCAAAAATATACAGAGAATGCAAATGGAACCTGAGCGACAATCAATTTTGATTTCGTATGGGGCTTCGTACAAGGGAGGCATTCTTTGGCCTCCATTACTACAAAAATGCCGGGATCAGCGAAAAGACGTATTTCTCTGTTTTATCGACTACAAAAAAGCGTTTGATGGAGTAAAACACACAGAACTCATAGAAACCCTAACACAACATGGTATAGACCATAACAATGTTCCACTTATTAAAAAACTATATTGGGATCAAATGACGTCAATCAAAATAGACAATCGTCTGACAGCGGAATTGCCAATAAAAAGAGGATTCCATCAGGGCTGTGTACTTTCTCCACTGTTATTTACGATATATTCCGAAAAGATCTTTAAAAATGCCCTCGAAAATATTGAAGAAGGAATCAAAATCAACGGAGAATACGTAAACAACTTAAGATACGCAGACGACACCGTCATTATGGTGGACAGTGCTGAAGGTTTACAACGGCTTTTAAAGGTCATAACCAGAGAAGGAGATAGCTTGGGACGAAATATAGACACAAATAAAACAAAAGTAATGGCTGTTACACGTGCACCAAATGTCGACATTAATATTCGTATCTAAAACAAATATATAGAACAAGTACAAAAATTCCAGTATCTTGGTTGCTGGATAACAAACGATCTTGACCACGAGGTCAAAATACGTGCTCGTATAGAATATGCTAGTTCTGTTGCCGAGAGGGGGCATTTGGGCCTGTGGGACCCATCGCCGGCTCTTCGGACTTCTTCCTGTCCCCGGAATTTGATCGGGTGTTGACCATCTTTGTTTGTCGCTATCGAAAGGGTTAATAATCGCTACTGGTATAAAGTAACAGTTACCGTGACAAGTATCGGTTATAGGTAACAGTTCCAAGGAACGGTTACGAAATAACGGATCAAAGATAGAAAACAGAACAGGTACAATAATCTAAGTATTCCTTGACTTACGGAAGGAATAGCTTAGTAAATCAAAATAAATCAAACGGTATAAAAATATAATACAAGGTAAATGCTCCTAGGTGTTTCTTGACTTAGGACAGAAATATAAAAGAAAGTGAAAATATGCAAATGTGAAAATAAAATATGGAAATATTTCTAAGTGTTTCTTGACTTACGGAAGAAACGGCTTAGAAAATAAAACATTCAAAGTATAAAAACAAGAAATGCAAAAGGGAAATAGATTATAGAAATATGTCTAAGTGTTTCTTGACTTACGGAAGAAACAACTTAGAGCAGAAAATAAACAAGAGAATATGGTAAAATAGATGTACAAATATTTATAAGTGTTTCTTAACTTACGGAAGAACAACTTATAATAGAAACAAGAAAATCAAATACAGAAAAGATGTGAAAATATTGCTAAGTGTTTCTTGACTTACGGAAGAAACAACTTAACGAAAAATAGAAAATAAAATAGTCAATAATATGAAATAATATCTTAGATAAAAGTATCAGAAATAATAATGCAAATATGAAAATACTTCTAAGTGTTCTTTTGACTCACCGGAAAAGAACGACTTAGACACACACAAATTAACAAGTCGAATAAAATAGCAAAGCAATATTTCTAAGAGTTCTTTGACTTACCGGAAAGAACAGCTTAGATACAAATACAAGAAAATAATCAATCAAAATAATCAAATAAAATATCAAACAATAAGTACATGAATAATGTGTAATATTCTAACCTGAAAAGGTCTGAATATACAATAATGCTAAAATAAAAATGGTATATAGGAAATCAGAAATAAAACAATAACTTAGTTGGAACAATAATAGCACCGACTAGGTCTACAGTAGAAGAGGCAAGCTCGACTGACCGATGAGAGAAATTCCGTCTGCTTTTATATAAAACAAATCCTTTGTTTTACGTAGTAAAAGTGGAATTTCCCTACATCGAGTCAATTAGAAATTCGGATTTGCCCACACTTGGAATTTCCAAGTATTTCTCCGAATTTCTAAATGCATCCGGCACGGCGGTCAGCTTCTGCCTGACACGCCTCCGGAGACAGTTCCGCATATCAACGAATAAAAAAATTTCTAATAAACTCAATAGAATTGTCTTCCTGTTTATAATACATATTGACCAATATTAGTCGTTATTCTGAAAGGTTTTTTCTAGACGTACTTAAGAAAGCAACATTTTCTTTGAAAGTGAGACTTTACAGAAATAATTTAATCAGACCATAAAGCTTTTAGCATAATTTCCAAAATTATCCAACTGCTATTGAATATTTAATAAGGGATAATGAACCTCTTACAGCTTCTAAAGAGTTAGGCATAAGAAGTTTCTTCTGCTTAGAATAAAGTGGCGATTTTATTTATCAGTTAAAAGTTAGAAACCACTTTTAAGCTATCTCCCGATATACTTCATTCTAAACGAGGATTTGTTTCTGTTTTAACATGAATTTTTCAATGTTAACAAGTTTTATTTATGGTATACTTTAACTTAAATGAGTTGGTATACATAGAAAACCACTGGTGGCACGAATCTTTTTGTATTTAGGTGGTCTACACAAGCGTACTTTAGAGAATTTAAAGAGGATTTTTAAGTTTTTGGGACATTAAGTGTAAATACATCGAATTGTCGAATTGATGAATGCGCCTAGATAATATAGATTTCAAAAATAAGACGATCTGTCCACTGTGTATTAAGAGCAACTAAAAAATTGAATAAATTGACACTACCAATTCCTCCAACAAAAAAACGTGATAGAACTTGGGGGAGATTTACAATGAAAAAGGTAATGTATTTGCAGACTATTTAGAAAATATATTTACTCCAAATTCAGGTCAAAACATAAATGACGATGTAGTTAGCGAATATCTAGATGCACTCTGCCAACTATCACCCCCTAATAAAAGTATTCTCTCCATTCGAGGTTCGCAGAATAATAATGAGTACCAAACTCTCACAAAGCACCGGGAACGATTAAATCGATGGGAGAATCCCAGTTCTCATGCTTACTATTATTTATAATAGAATGCTGCAGTTAAGCCATTTTCCAATCCAGTGGACATATGAACATATTCTAATGATTGGAAAGCCAAGTAAATTGTCTACGGAATCTTCTTCCTATCGTCTGATCAGATTGTTACCCTTGATGTACAAGATATTTGAAAGAATTCTGCTAAATAGAATAAGCGAAACTGTACCACTCGAGAACATAATACTCGAACATCAGTTTGCTTTTCGTCAAAAATATTTAACAATTCAACAGTGTCATATAATAGTAAATAAAATTAAAAAAAGTTTGTAAGAAAGCACTATGTGTGTAATCCAATCCGGAGTTCATCAGCGAAGGTATCGTCAGTCCCTTCCTGTACCTAATCTTTACTACTAACGTTACGTGCCTATTACTTTTGCCGATAATACAGCGGTTTTAATTTCAAACAAAGACTTGGACAAAGCATCTGAAAAGTTGCAAAATTACTTACATACATTAGAAAATAGGTTGGCAAAATGGAAAATTAAAGTCAATAACGAAAACAATTAATAGTTGTGAATGACATGATATGTCGGTAGTTTCTACTACTTCTAGTGATAAGCAAATGGTTTCCTGAATCTCAGATTCAATAACGTTACTCAAAATATAACTAAATGATTCTATTAATTTATTCTGTATTGTTTTAGATACACCGCTAAATGTCTTCGATTCAGAAAGTAAATTAGAAAATTCCAAATCCTATTTATTAAACATTTTTATTAGTTCACTCACCGGAGAGACCGCAGACGTTCGGATACAATTAGCGTCTCTTAGCAAAGACAATGACGTCAACTTTGCTAAGTATCAAGACAATTTCTCTATACACATACAGACACACTACACTAGGTACCTGACTGTAAAAATTCACTGTACCATGCCAATGACCATTAGTTGCCGACGCATTAAACTAAAAAAAATTAGTTCTCTATAAGTGCCTTGATTTAACGAATGCTCCGATTCATCGTGTCCCTCAAATGATAATTCCTGGCAACTTAAAAAAATTCCAATATCAATTAAACGACGTAAAACTGCGTGATTATTTTTTACAATTTCGTTATGTTTAATAGCATTTTCACGTTGGGCATTATCTAATGAAACATACATATTTTGTTTTCCAAATAAATTAATTTAATCTGGCTGAATGTATGATCTTTCGAAATATCATGTTTATGTAAAGCCCTAAATAATTCCTTTAAATTATCATAACCAGATTCACACCACGGATTTTGATGTTTACCCCTATTTGTCGAAAATAAAATGCAAGGCCAACAGAAAAGTTTGTTTTTTATTTCACTCCCGGTAAGCCATGAGTACTTGCTGTACCAATTATCTGAAAATGATCTATTACTTCCCTTACCCCCCTCACTAATATTTATAAGCCAGGACATTTTAGGCAAAGGACGCCCCTTATTTTAAATAACAATTTGTTCTTCGTATGGAATAGATGGAAACCCATTTTGCAAAATATAATTTACAATATCAGATTTATCAATACTTATGGTGTCTCCCATAGCTTGCATTTTTTTGATTAAATTACCTGAATTTGTTTACACTTTAATTAAAAAAAAAACTTCTAATATATCAAAAAATCCTTTAACCTTTAACTATTTAAGGCAGACGTAACGTATTACAGTATTACTTTAAAAATAAAAATAAATCACAGAAAGAAAAGCTAGTTCGTGCACTCAATATTACTTCACTTTAAGTAAACAGTAAATAGTTTTCCTTTGATATTTTTATTAAAATATACACAATATTTTTTAGTATTATCAACCAAGGCCTGATCTTCCTAAAGAATTGAACGAATGGTTGGCTTTTGTACAAGAGCATAAACAAGACTTTAAGGCCATAAAAAATATTGTTAAAAGACGTAATCGGGAACAAAATTATTATGACGAAATTGAAGAAGCACAAAGCCACAAGGTAATAAAGAGAATTAATTATTATTTTTTTAATATTGTTTGAATTAATTGTTTATATTATTATTTATATTAAAAAAAATTATTCGGCTTCCAGAGTCTGAAAAGTGAGGTCAATGCTCTGGCATTATTATTAAAATGAATATATAAACAAATATGCATAAAAAGGTAAAACCAGCAGCTGGTCTTCAAAACTCCAACACAGCTAGCAAACTGCAAGATCAGCAGGGGAACATCATCACAGATAAAAATCAAGAAATATGCATATGGACCAAATACATACAAGAACTTCTTCTTCTTCTACGGCAATACAGCCCAAAATGAGCCTTGGCCTCCTTTATTTTTTGCCTCCACCCTTGTCTGTCTGTGGCTGCTCTTCTCCATACACGGACTCCTAAAAGTGCTTGTGCGTCGCTGCTTACTGTGTCTTCCCAGCGCTTTCTTGGCTTTCCAACTGGTCTCTTTCCCTGCATTCTGGCGTTCAGTGCTCGTTTTGGTAGCCTATCCTCTCCCATTCGTATCACATGTCCGGCCCATTGCAATCTTTGTATTCTAATGAAGTTTGACAGGGGTGTTTCCTTATACAGTTGATAGAGCTCGTTGTTATATCGAATTCTGAAGATTCCGTTTTCCCTCACAGGTCCTAGTATTCTCCTCAGTACTTTTCTTTCGAATGTGTCGAGTTTGTTTTTGGATGTTTCTTTCAGGACCCATGCTTCGCTGCCATAACATGCTATTGGCCGAATTAAAGTTTTATATATTCTCATCTTTGTATTTCGGTGGACACTTTTAGACCGAAATATATGGGAGAGGGCAAAATAAGCTTTGTTTGCCTGCGTTATCCTTTTTCGTATTTCTCCATCCTCTGCTCCATCGGCATATATTTCTACTCCCAGGTATGTAAACTTTCCAACCGTTTCAATGTCATCTTCATGTATAATGTTTTGTGGAATTATATTTCTTCTCGTCTGTACCATTATTTTTGTTTTTTCTGTGTTAATTTCCAGACCTAGCCTTTTCGTTTGTGTTTTTAACTCTGCGTATGCTTCCTGTGCTCCTGTTGATGTTCTACTCATAATATTAATATCATCGGCGTAGGCAGCCAGTTGAACCGTTTTATTGGTCAGTAGGTTTTCTCGTCCAGTTTGCATTTGCCTGACCGCATACTCCAGTGCCAGGTTAAACAATGTTGGTGCCAGCCCATCTCCCTGCTTTAGTCCCTGCGAGATTTTGAAAAAGTCTGTCCGGTTGTTTTGTATTCGTACACATGCCTGAGTTTCATCCATTGTGGCTTTAATGAGTCTAATTAGCTTATGTGGTATTGCTAATTCTGCCAATATATAGTATAGTCTGTCCCTTTTGACTGAATCGTATGCCTGTTTGAAGTCTACAAACACGTTGTGAACATCAATGTCGTGTTCCCACGATTTGCTCAAGACCTGCTTGACTGTAAATATTTGATCCATTGTCGATCTTCCCCGTCTGAAGCCCGTCTGATATTCTCCAATAATATTTTCTGCTAGTGGTTGGAGTCGCTGGTTTATAATATACGTGAGAACTTTATACGCTGTACATAGTAGAGAAATTCCACGGTAATTTTTGCATTGGAGTTTGTCTCCTTTTTTATAGATTGGGCATACTATACTTTTCTTCCATTCGTCGGGTATTTTCTCTTCTTGCCATATTTCTTTGATAAGCGCGTGGATATGACTTGATAGGTGGTTGCCACCTACCTTATACAGTTCTGCTGGAATCTCGTCAACTCCCGGGGCTTTATTGTTTTTCTGGGCCTTAATAGCTTCGAGAACTTCCTCTATGGTTGGAGCTTTACTTCAACTTCATTCTCTTCTACATGGTTCGTACCCATTTCATCTTCAACTTCATACAAGAACTCTTTGATGATAATTGGTCCGAACAACCTCCATTCTACATATGTGGTGACCAGTTATCAATGACATCAGCTAAAGTGGAAAAAGCAATATCACAACTAAAAGATGGCAAAGCTCCTGGACCTGACAACGCATAGGCGGGACTCATAAAGCTATTTAACATCGACGGTCTTCAACGACTAACAAGAATATTCAATGATACATATTTAAACGGAGTAATACCAAGATCATTAAACGTTTGGTTTTTCGGAATGATACAGTAAACCACGACAAACTGATGGAGGTGGCCAAAATTTAATACCTCGGTCACATCATAAGGAACAGCGAAAGATATGGGTTGCTGCAATTAATTCTTCAAGGAAAAGTAGAAGGAAAACGAGGACCAGGAAGGCGAAAAATCTACGTACGTGGTTCAACACAATCACCACAAATCTTTTCAGAGTCGCAATTTGCAAAATACAGATTGCCATGATGGTTGCCAACATCCGAAACGGATAGGCACTACAAGAAGAAGAACTATACAAACACAGGTGACCTGTTATACGATCACTAATGACCTCGCGTTGATGACGCGGAAAAAAGGGCGCATTATTTCCAAGTTATACGTGACTGTAATTAAGGCGCGTTGAGATCACTTTGTCCACGTTGTCAGCGCTACATATAATTTAATGCGAGCTATGTGCAATGGGCTACGCCTTTGTTACAGCCTATCACGCAGTTTTCAGAACAAATGATATCAGATTTATCGGCCTTAGGAACCTAAGGCCTAAGAAACTTAGCGTTTCTTGTCCGGTTTTGCCAGGTTTGGATATAAAAACTACACGTATCCATGCATTCAAGCTCCATGCTTCTGGTATTAGCACTTATTCAGAGGAACATAAAAAGTAAAAAAACAAAAGATCTATACAAATTACTTTAAAAACACTTAATACACGTAGTAACAGACCATTTAGTTATAAGAGGTGACTTGTATGATCTACTCAGAAGCACACCTATTCCATAAATTGTGCAGACAAATAGAAAACAGAATTGAAATGTTGCACTGTTTTTTTAATAATTTTAACTTTTTTCTTTCAGCTTTTGTCCTACGATGAAGACCAGTACATAGATGAAGCTCCACATAATGACATTTACCCGCACTTCAACCAGGTACTTAACAAAAACGCCCCATCAAACCTAGGTACAACCAATCATAAACAACGAAAAACCAAAAAATCAAACAAGTTCAAAAGCTCTCACAAATCAAGTAGAGCTCGAAGACATTCTTCCAAGGAACATTTTTTTGAAAGTCAGAAAATTCCTGCAGTCGAACCAAATGGTAAAATCGGTGAAATACATCGATCCGATAGGAAATTTCCAGAAAGATATAAGCAGGATAATCAGGATAAATATAATAAAAGAGAAATACAAATAAATGTGTTAAAAGATGGTAAGCTTATAAAATCAATTCAAGAAAATGAAAAGAATTCAAAATCTTTAGTATTTAATATAGAAGCTGTAAACGATGACAAAAATAGTATTGAACAAAATAGCAAAAATTTGAAATTGCCAAAATCACTCCTCAATATTAGTCCTGTTCAAAGAAGTTCTGATAGTAAAGAATTATTTAACAAAGACCAAGAGAATGTTTTAAACTACAATAATCTTTTTAGCGTTAATGAAAAACTAAATACAGATAGAAACATTGCTGACAAAACTTTAAAAGACAATGCACTCTTTTACCAAGTCACGATGCCAAACTTTCACTCAATAATTAATCAGCCTCTTCATCGAGGCTTTCAGTCAAATACCTCCAAATTTATCACACCTCAAAATGTTCAAAAAAAACAAAATCAGTTTTATGGCAATAACTTTAAAGACATGAGCAAATTCTGGACTGCTTCAGAAAAAGACCGGTTACAAAAAGGTATAGAATTTGCTCAAGATAATCCGAATTTGAAGAATGGTATTCAAGATAATGGATTTGAAGCTGCCAAAAGTATCGTTGTTGAAACCAGTCCAAATAAGGATTCAAGTATAGGAAAGGAACCACAACAACTTTCTTTAAAACGAAATTCGGACATTAAAGAAGGTTTAAGTAACAACCTTTATGGTGCAGCTTCTGAAGATGTAAATGAACTGCTTAATGAGAACAAGATGAATTATGATAAAAATATTCGTCATAAAGAAACCATAGATGTTTCTATAAATTCTCTTAACGATACTGAAAAGAATCAAAAGCTTGATAATACAGAACCAACGGATTCAAATACTGAAGCAGTTCTTGATAATGAAGATATGAATAAGGAAATTAAAAATACTAATAATCATAATTTAAATTTAAATGTTAGTAATGTTTATAAAACAGATGAAAAGAATCAAATAAATATAAAAGTTTCTACTGATAAAGAAGTTATTAAAAATAACGATAAAACTAATAACATTAATTTAGACAAAGACGATGTAGGGATGGTACCCATTACTGAAGATACGAATATAAACAATAAAAATATATTAAGCGATACAACACTCAATATTGTTCAGGAAAATGGAAGAATAGAAGAAACTAACAACAAGGAACAACTACAACAAAATAAAAAGGAATCACCACTTCCATCTCATTCAAATGTTCATACAGGGCATGAAAATATTAACAACCACATTGAAATTACCATAGTTGAACCAAAAGGAAATATTAAAACAGATATTGAAAAGAATGAAGATATCCAGGAGAACACTGAAAAAAATAGCAATAAAGATTTTAACATGGATGATACTTTGCTAAAAATAACAACACCAGAAGATTTTAATGATCTTAATATTCAAGAAATTAAAGATGAGCAAATGCATCTATCGAAAGATTTGGAACCAGACAAATCTATAGAAAAATCTAATGACATAGATGAAGACAAAGAAAATGATTTAGTAAATTGTGACATTGTCGGACGTCCCGTCAATGACATGGACACACAATATCTCGATAACGAAAACATTCGCAAGAATTCACAAACCATTAAGGTAATTATCGATGGTAGTAAAAGTAATAATGGCAAGAATGATTTAGAAGACAATTTTCAGAACCGATATTTTCATCATACTTACCACAAATTGAAAACAGCACATTGTCAAGGTGACCAATGTGATTTAAATAAAAGATTGGCAAAAAAGAAATTTTTTAGAAGGAAAAAGCAGCCATATTCCAATCATATTAACAAAAAACGTGATCCATACAAACTAAGGCAACTAAAGTCTGCAGACTATGTTTACGACGCTGAGATAGAAGAACCAATTGATGAGGAATATGTAAATGAAGAACATGCAACCTCTAAAAGAGAACATTTTTTGACAATCAATAAAAAAGGTGCTGTTGAAGGAGACTACGGCGATGAAGAAGATTCTATACCTTCTAAAAGTAACAAATTAAATCAAATAATCAAGCAAAGCGATAATGTTTTTGCTGATCCACGAACTGTATCATCACGCGATGAAGAGGATGACGGTGACTATTATGAAGAGGAAAATAGTTCTAAGAATGGGACAGTCAATGCCACCAAGAATGGTAAACTTGAAATCAAGGAACAAAGTGACAATTTTGGTAAAAGGATGCACCCAAAACCTAAACCTCCACCTCCAAAAGATCAAAAACCACACCAAAACGACATGGACAATAAAAACAAAAACTATGTAAGGGAACCCAGATCCCAAGCAGATACAGAACACAATGATCAAGCCCAGAAATTTGTAAGAGAGACTCAAAAAAATTTGAAAAAAATAGCTTCAGCTAAGAAACAGGTGAAAAATAAATTTCCTCTATCGTCGAAAGGGTTTTTTACAAATAATAATTTTAAAAGAAGCGATTCAGTCGCGGATGTAGATAAATCCGGTTCTGCAGATTCGCCCAAAATCGATGTTGATGACCTAGCAAAATCTGCCTTGGGACTTACTAACGGTGACCTGGAGCGAACTACTCTCTTTAATTTTAACGAAGTTCCTGGTGTTAGTGTGTCCAGTACCATGCAGCCTGAGTCGGTTACTGAAGTATGTGAGGAAGTTACTCAAGTAAGCATCGGTAATATGTGTGAGAATGAGACTGTTTTAGAAAAGCAGCACGTAATGACAACCATTTTGTCTATTATACCCGACGTTCAACAGGAGATGGTAAGTGAAAATTTTTTTTTTTTTTATTTAACCCTTTATAGGTCTGTGGTCGATATTTCGACCACTGCTCTTATTAATACTTATGAGCTAGTAATTGACATGAAAAGTTACCGAAGTGCAAATTCAGTGTTTTTTAATGAATTGTACCCAAAATGAACACCACAGAATAAAATACGGCAACGTGGCAGCAATGTGGTCGATTCGCCAACCACAACCCATCATACTCTCTAAGTTACTGTTGAACGTGATCACAGGTTTTTGCCGTTTGTAAAAGTTAGAAAAATAATTTACAAAAGATTTATACATCAAACTCAAGGTAACACATCACAGTATTATGGTCTTTTATTATCTATTCAGATTTTATTGGCGCTAAGATGATATATCTTGATTTACTAAACATAACCTCAAAGTAGCACATGCTGATTTTACAATTGTTCTATTGAAATGTATTTTCACTCTTGTTTATTTTAAATCTATACACTTATATTCTTTTTTTACGTAAATCTGACTTACTTGAATAATATTTCCAAGAATTAAATTGCTGTGCGGTAGATCAAGTAATTAAATTTTTCAAGTATTTGTATACAACAATGTACGTATCTTTTGCAGTAAAATGGAACACCGCAATATACTTGAAAATTTACAAAATATGACTCAGGATGATTTATTTGATCACATAGATGGTATTCCATATCAACAAGCCATAAATTCAGATTTTGAGGGTGATTCTGATGCAGAAGATAATCTTCCTATTTCCAACCGAACGTCGGTTGCATCCAACGCGACTATTACTTCATTGTCTAATGATGACAAGGTTGAATTTCTTGATGTTGATTCAGATGACTCAATGGATGATATAGCTTTCCACCCTCAGGTAAGAACAAATCGCATTTTTGACGACGTCGATACTTCCTCAGGCGAAGACGAAATAGAAGAGAACCAAGAGAACACAGTAAAGTGCGATGATATAAATGGAGAAAGAACGCTTCTGATGCACAAAAATATTCGAATGCGACGTTTACCAGACCATTTGGCTAGCAAAACCGGTCAATATAAATTCACCATTCGACGTGTTTTCTTTGTTCATGAGCAAAGATATTATAGCTAATATAATTACACAGTCAAATCTCTATGCTCAACAACAAAATCATAATAATCTCGACCTAACTGAGGAAGAACTGAAAGCATTTCCAGGGGTTCTTATAATCATGGGGTTTCATAAACTACCTAGTTTGAGACATTATTGGTCAACTGATATTAACATGCACGTGCCAAGAGTTTCCCAAATTTTTACGCAAAAACGATTCTTAAAAATTCTTCGTTTTCTCCATCTAAACAATAACGAAAACATGGAAAGAAATCAAAATAACCCCAATTTTGACAGATTGTTCAAAGTAAGGCCTTTGATAACAGAACTGCGGCAACGCTTTCAAGAGAACTTTTATACAAGTAGAAATGTTGCGGTAGATGAAAGTATGGTTGCTTTCAAGGGGAGAAGTTCTCTCAAACAATATATGCCGAAGAAGCCCATAAAAAAAAGCTTTAAAGTTTGGGTCGTTGCATGCTCCGAAACTGGATACGTGCACAAATTTAGCATATATGAAGGCAAATCTCAATCACAACATGTTGAATATGGTTTAGGCGCTAAAACGGTATTAGACATTACCGAGTCTCTTAGAGGCGCAAACTACTGCATTTATTTCGATAATTTTTTCTCGAGTTTTCCTCTTCTTAAGAAAATGTTAACCTATGATTTGTTCTTCTGTGGAACTTTTAGAATAAATCGTAAAGGCTTTCCAACACAAATGAGAAAGGACAAAACAATGAAAATGGGAGAACACGATTATCTCATGTAAAATGATATGTCTGTTGTTAAATGGAAAGATCGGGGGCGCAAATGCATTTTAGTCGGCAGTACTATGCATAATCCACTTGAGATTACTTCAGTTTTGCGAAGAAAACCGAATGGTGAACAAGAAAGTGTTAAGTGTCCAAAAGCCATAAGTGATTACAATCGCTATATGGGTGGAGTCGATCTATTCGATCAACTTCATGCTTCTTATCCAATTTCATGGAAATCCTGAAGATGGTATATGAAGATTCGTTACTATTTGATTGATGCAGCAGTGGTAAATTCATATATAACTTATAAGACTACAATGAAAATGAGGTCCATTAAATCGAAACCAATGAGTCACCTGTATTTTAGAAGTGTATTGGCCAACGAGCTCATAGGTGATTTCTATAACAGAAAGAGACCATATATATACACTATATACACTATAACAGAATAACCACTAATTCTGTTAGCGTTGAAAGCACGGTGAGACTAAGCGATGTTGGCAATCACATGCCAGAAAAAGGAACATCAAGCCGTTGTGCACTCTGTTCAACGAGAGTAAAGCCAAAACGTTCAAGTATTAAATGCTAAGATTGCCAGGTTGCATTATGTATTTAATGTTTTCCATTATTTCATAATAAAAATGTGTAATTAATGTGTTTTTTTTCTGTGGTCGATTATGGAACCACAACTACATTTACCAAAGTCAACATAACTAATCAGGCTGTGGTCGAAATTTCAACCACCTAAAAAAATAACAAGGAGTGAAAATAAAATGAAAATACGAATGAAAGTTCAATAACGGATCATTCCTTATCTATAATCTGCAAAGAATTTGTTTATATTACCAAAAAATAATTCTGCCCTATAAAGAGTTAAAGACAAAGTCGTATCCACCTGATGGTTATTGGCGACCGATCTGTATAATTTTAGTTAAAATTTATAAGTATACCAGGGAGATTTATCCAATACCGTAGAGAGTGTATTTTCGATAAAGTCCGCTAGAGTAGGTATATGCGCTCTAGCAGTAAAAGCTCTATACCACTTAGGTTCACTATGCAGGTGGCGGTCATTTCGTACCAGTATATAGTAACAGCCAGTGAGGAAAAAATTTTTGTCGCGTTGACGGATTACTAACCTAGATTTTAAGCTTCTAAACTGTAGTGTCTGGTAAGTAGATTTTATTTTCTTATAGTTTCCTGGAAAAGGTGGAACACTTTAGATATCTGGGTAGCTGGATTGACTGCAGGGTTGAAAGTGACGAGGAAATTTCGACCAGAATAGAGCTCGCACGGAAAAACTTTATTAACTGGCGTTCTGTATCATGCAATAGAAAACTGTCGTTGACCACACTTCTAAGAGTATTAAAGTGCTACGTCTGGTCCACTTTGTTCTATGGATGTGAAACCTGGACAACAAAAATAAAAAATCTTAACAAATTAGAAGCGTTTGAGTTATGGTGTTACCGTCGCATGCTCAGAATCCCGTAGACAGCACACATATCTAACGTACGTGTGCTATAAACCGTGCACAAAGAACGAGCATTGATCAACATCATCAAAATGAGAAAGGTCCAATACTTCGGTCATATAATAAGAGGACCTAAATATCGCCTACTCCGGTAATCATTCAGGGCAAAATCGAAGGAAAACGTTGGGTCAAAAGAAAACAACTGTCCTAGCTGCGTAACATTAGACAATTGACAGGTCGAACGGTCGAGGAACTGTTTCATCTAGCTGCCGACCGAGAATCATTTCATCAGCTTGTCAATATAACGATAGCCAACGCTTGAATACAAGCACGGCACACAAAGAACATAGTTTGTAATAATGCTACTTGTATAGCAAATGCATAAAAAGTCATTGATGTTTAATTATGAACATTAGTTTGTAAGAAAAAATTTAAATCAGCTTCCCACCACATTCTCCCACTATCGGATAGTCATGTACTGTCTATCGGACAGACACTAAATATTATGTGCTGACTCACTAATTCTTTTTTTTCCAGGTATATTGAACATGATGTCGAAAGAGAAAAAAAGAGTGTTTCGTTAGAATACTAAAACTTAAAATATTAAAACCGGCAATAAATACTTCAACGAATTTAAGACCACAAAAGGCTTATTGCAGGGATGCTCTACATCTCCGACACTGTTCAGATATCCCTCGAACCAATAATAAAACCATGGAAAAGGAAATGTGCAGGGGTGGGAATACCAATCCGGGACAACTTCTTGTACACATTAAGCTTTGCAGATGAAGTGGTAACGGCTCAAGATGAAGACAATCTGTGCTATATGCTCCGAAAATTAGAAAAGGAATACACAAACAATGGACTGGAAATAAACCTAGAAAAGACCGAATATTTGACAACAGAGCAATAACCAGTGAGAAACTTGGAAATGGACGATGATAGGGAAATTAACGGCACTGAAAACTTCAAATATTTATTATTCATACTCTCAAAAAATGGAACCACCAAGCAAGAGATAACCAGCAGATTAGCACAGACAAGAACATGTATTAAACAAATTAACGGAGTACTGTGGGATAGACAGATTACCAGAAATACAAAGAAGAAAATTTATAACACCTTGGTATGCAGTATAATGACCTATGGAGCAGAGAATTGGGTGATAAATAAACGAAACAGGTCCAAAATCACAGCAACTGAAATGGAGTTCATGAGAAGAAGCTGCAGAGTGAGAAAAATAGATCGCATCAGAAATGAGGAGATAAAACGAAGAATGGCAGAAGAACAAGACATACTACAGCTACGTCGAAGAAAAACGTTTAATTTGGTATGGACATGTGAAAAGAACAGATCATACAAGGTGGATAGCAAAGATTTTGGATTGGAGCCCAATAGGAAGGAGGAAAAGAGGTAGACTTCGAAGATCATGGAGGGATGAAGTGGACGAGGCCATGGAAAGACGAGACTTTAGAGATGGAATATGGCAGAACAGAAAGGACTGGAGACGTTGGCTGAAAGAAGGAGGGCGGCGACAGCTGTAAAAATCCTTACATAGATAGATAGAAATAGTTAGAATAGTCGAAGAAAAAAGGCAATCAAGCATGTATTGAAAAACAAAATGACTATAAGACGGGCTTCTTTTTATTTTTCTTTCCCAAAGAGTACGCTGGCAGACAGAATCAAATAGTTATGAGGAGGTGGTGATGTGGATATGAAGCCACTTATGGTCATTTTAAGAAGACTTTTCTTAAGAGGTAGAAACCAAATTTTAGTTGAACATTTAGTACGAGTAGATATAGATAAGACGATGCCTATGAACAAAAAAAAGTTTTTAAGTTTTACTTTGGAGTTATCGAAGCACTTAAAATAACAATTTAATAAAAATAAAAGATTGCAGGGGACAAGTGTTATGATTTTTTAAGCCGCCATTCTCACCTTTCTTTGCGAAAACCACAGTTAAAAATATTTAAAAAGCTGTCGGTTTCAACAAACTACAAGTGAACCTTTTCTTGGTCAAATATGAAGCACTGCTACCAAAATTTAACTTTATGCCCTTAAAGGTGTTTAACTTTAATGAGACAAGAGCTTCTGTGGTCCATGATAATGCCTCAATGGTTCTGTCATAGGAAAAAAGCTGGTAAGTAAAATCACGCCGGAAGGGAGAGGCAGAACAGTAACTGTGCTACTGTCTATTAACGCGACAGTTGATGTATTTTACCTCCCATATTTGTATTTGGTAGGGTTAAAATTACAGAAAAGTTGAAGCAGGATGCTTAGGGGGAAGTATTTTTACTTGTAAACAAAGTGGGTGGATTAATTTTATTTTTGCTTTGGTTGAAAATGTTTGTTGCTCGAGTGAATCCCACTAAGAAAAGCCTGGCTCTTTTAATACTTGGTGAGCTAAAGTTCTCACAAGAAACTACAAACAATTATACATCCAAGAGACGACAATGTTCATATAATAAGAAGTCTACCCACTCACACCATCCACAAACTTCAACCTCTTAACCAAGAAATAATGAGACCATTCAAGGCTGCGTACAATGGGGCTTATACAAAGTAAATGAACCAACATTGCTGAATTGGTTAAAACAGTTTTTCAAGCTATTTGTAGGATGGAACTTGCAAAGTCTGCGTTGGCCTCGACTGGTTTGTACCCATTGCAGAACACGATTTTTACAGATTTAGATTATTTTGCTGCAGCTCACTTTTCTGAAGACAATGAAGCCCATAGTAACACAGTTCCCTGCACAACAACGCTTTTATCTGGACCACCATTGACTGTAACCGAAAGGTTTGATGTAGCTTTATCTACCTCTTTTAAAACCCCTTTAACATCGTGTTCCACAGTTGCTAGCCCTGTACATATTCGGCATCAAGTAGCTCTACTGTGACAGCACTTCCTTCAGCTACTGTCAGCACTTATAATTCCTACGATAGACTTTATACCCTCATATTATTCCTTTGTGAAGTTTGCGAATATTAATTTTTGTACGAATCAGTTTGGGTTTCGATTTAATTTAAGTCTTTTACCACTCCCTGACACGTGTTTCTGAGTCTACCCGTCATCAGAATGCGTTTGTAAGAAGACTCAACTGGAAGAAGACTGGCAATTACAGGAAAATAACTACGAGAGTATGCTACTAAACACCTCTAGTGAGAAAAGATGAAGTTAAATACGTCAATAGCAATTAAAGTAAACTGTATACCCAAGTTTAATCAAGCCTTTCAGAGCGGTGCTGGAAATTAATTTTTGTGTGAACAAAATTTTAATTTTAAAATATTGCATTTTTATTTTTTATATATGTTTCCAAAAATAATTATTTTCAAAAAGCTGTAGGTGTCCGATACTGGGCAAGTCTCCTCTAAGTATGTTACATAGTTACAAAATAGTGATGCTGACAAAATAACTCAGTAAATAACACTATATTATATCTGTAACTTATCAATTTTGATGACTATTTTATTTTAGAACGGAAACAATAGTTTTGATACCAAAAATGACACTTTTGAAAAATTGGACGAAGTTCTTTCAGGCAAGTTGCCAATTTCTTTGGTTAGCTCGGTATACGATCATATGAAAACGCATCCAACATTTAAAACTCGGTTTTATAGTGGAATGAGGAGACGTCACCATAAGGTAAGTGTAAGGATTCTTATAAACCTAAAGAAATAATACTCTTTAATATTTTTAATGTCATTCACTTCGTTGTAAGGATTATATTCATAGTTAGGTCAAGCCCCACGACGGTCATACATTTGTATTTACATTCACTATCAATCAACTATGGTGAAAGCTATATAGTGGCTTGAATAGGCCGCAAACTCTTTACAATCGACTTAGCAGTGTCTTATTGCATTTTCTATTCTTACCTTAATTCTTATTAATCTGCTGATCCTGACACTTTACCGCTCATTTGGATGCCCTTCTAAGAATTGCAAGGCAAACCAGACGTTGATAAAGATTAGACGTTAGAAGGCACTGATTTCATAATGTTCAGAGAATTTGTGAATAGCAGCTCCGAAGATCCCTTTAGAGTGAAATACATATAAGCAGATGCACAGACGCACTATACACGAAACCAAATCTTAACTGTCTTTCCTTTTATTTCGATTTACTCTTTATGAGTACGCGAAACCAATTCGCTAAGGATTTTTGCTTAGTTGGGAGATATGTTGTGGAATGCAATTTTAGATTCCCCATGTCTTTAATTATATCTTTATCAACGTCTGTTTTGCCTTGCAAATCTTAAAAGGTACAGATGAAAGCAGAAATCTTAATTTGGTTTCGAAAATTAGTTTACGGATTTATTTATCATATGTCGCTATTAAGTCCAGATCGAAGCCATTTTAGTGTTGCTTCTATTATGACAGGAAAGATTGTTTTCACGTTCAGAGCGTTTGTGAATAACCGCTCCGAAGACCCCTTTTAGGATGAAATAGGTATAAGCGGATACACAGACGCACTATACGTGAAATCAAATCTTAACTGCCTTTCCTTTTATTAATAATAATTCTTAATGGTGTAATCCTTATAACATTTACTAATGTATTTTAAATATATTTATTTTTAGGAATCTTCAGGTGATCTTGAAAATTTAAACCAACAGGAAAGCAAACAACTTGTCAACGTTATGGAAGATATTATAAATAAGTTGCAATGGACTACAAATTGTCAAATGTTGCCCAAAAAGTATAACCAGTATTTGAGATCGATTACTAGAGCTAAATCTCACGACGCACTCTCAAAAACTAAGCAGATGGAAGAAGTTGATTTTGATGATGGACAAGATACGAAAAATTTTATATTCCACGCAGCCAGTGCAGGTAACCATAAAATAATATCAATTATTTCAAAACAAAACTTTAACAATATAATATAATATATATATATATATATATATATATATATATATATATATATATATGCAGATTGCGTTTGCCTTTGCAAATTGCAAACGCACAAAGGTTACAAATTATTAAGGTCGCTCTCCATTAAAACACATTAAAGAGCCAGATAAGATTATTTAAAGATGCCAGCAGAGTAAAACATTGCATGTGACATTTCGCTGTCTTTCTTATCTTTTATTATTGTTGTCTACGGCAACAAATTCAACTTAATGTTAAACTGCATCTTCTTCTTCTTCACGTGCCGTCTCCGTTTTGAAGTTTGGCTGGCATCATTGTTATTTAGATATTAGATGCAGCTGCACAGAACAGTAGATTAGCGTTATAACCAAACCACTCTCTTAAATATTTCGCAGGCAAGACTTTTTTTCATCTCCCTGTACTTCTTTTTCCTACAATTGTTCCTTGAATTATGTTTCGTACTAGTTGAATAAAGAAATGAAGCACTAAACCTGCCAGTTTTCCTCAGTAATATAAATTGTTATGCAATCTTTTGTATTTAATTCGTGTGACTGTCAGAAATTTTTTCAACAAAAGTGATGTAAGGGAGATAAAAATTGTATTTTTGTGCATTTTGTGTATTTTGTTTTAAAATACATATTTTTCATTTTCATAGAAAATGAAAAATTTGGAACTTTAGAAGCTTTGGAAGTTCAGGTCCCTGAACATAAATATCATAACATCGATGGCCTTTGAGCTACCTAGTCAACAAAATAATCCTCACCACTGAAGTGTTATGTTAATTACATTCAGAATCAGTCAAAAGTTATTACTCGTGGATTTTTGTGGTAGCTGAACACGGATCATAACGGCGATGGTCTTCGGCAAAATCAGTCGAAAGTCATTAGTCCTGGATCTTTTACGCACTTATTTGTAAATCAATTTTCTTTTGCATTTAAATTTTTTCTGTAATTTTATTTTGGATTTCTTTGTATTTCTGGTGCTAGTTTTATATCTTCTTTGGGTATCTATGAGCATTAAGATTTTTTTGTCATTCAGTCCATTTTTTCTTAAATATGGTTCAATGTTGGTATTACTACAAGTTCTTTTACATTTTATTTATATTTTCAATGTTATTTTTAGGTATATCCTCTACTGTCCCCAAATTTTCATTCATTTCTGCTATTATTTCGGCTTTTGTTACTATGTTGTTTAGATTATTTACGACTATTTACTCGGAGGTCTACTTTTTTAATTGTTTTTTTAATTTCTTTAGTTTTATTTTTATTTTAGCAATGATGGGGTTGTGATTTGATGCTTGATCTGATCCGGAATATAGCTTTAATTAGTTGATGACGTTTTCATACCTAATATTTTTATACTGTACGTGCATAAATTCCTTAAGAATATATACGATGATGCTACTTTTCACGTAAAAATAGATGATGATCTGGAAACTATGAAAATAGACCTTGGCAAAGGTGTGAGACAGGGCGACACCATCTCACCCAAGTTATTTACTTTGGCATTAGAAAATGTTTTCAAACAACTAAATTGGGCCGAAAATGGATTAAAAATTATTAAAAATGGAGAATATCTTAACCATTTGCATTTTGCAGACGACATAGTACTAATAAGCACAGATATCCATGAACTAAAATCAATGCTACAAGATTTAAATCACAAATCGAATCAAATAGGATTAAAAATGAATCTCGACAAAACAAAGATATTGTTCTGAAGCTATTTTCTTGTGGCATTGTAAATTAATTACTATTTATAACTGGGAATAAGCCACAATTAAAGATAAAAAATACGTTTATTGACGTTTCAATTTCCAATTCGGAAATCGTTCTCAAAATACAAACAGTAAATTAAACAAATTTTGTTTTTTGTTACATAGTGAAAAAATTCTTCTAATAATTTAATTTTATCTGACTCATGTAACTATGTAACAAAAAACAAAATTTGTTTAATTTACTGTTTGTATTTTGAGAACGATTTCCGAATTGGAAATTGAAACGTCAATAAACGTATTTTTTATCTTTAATTGTGGCTTATTCCCAGTTATAAATAGTAATTAAAACAAAGATATTAAGCAACAGCCTAGAAAACATCACGATAGATAACATCAATATAGAAAAGGTAGAACAATATATATCTAGGACATGCAATTAAAAACGAAAAGGAAAATCAAACCCTAGAAATTAAAAGAAGGACACAATTATCATGGGCTGCTTTTGGTAAGTTGAGCTTCATTTTAAAAGACAGAAAAATCCTAATTCACTTAAAACGAAAAACCTATGACACTTGTATACTACCAGTTGCAACTTATGGATTGGAAACTATGGCAATAACAAGAAAAATGGCAGAACAATTAAGAGTAACTCAACGCGACATGGAGAGGGCCACGTTAAATATAAGCCTCAGAGACAAAATTCCTAACACCGAAATACGTCAAAGAACTAAAATAACCGACATCATGGAAAAAATAGCGACATTGAGATGGCAATGGGTAGCACATGTAGCAAGACAAGACACCAACAGATGGTCTCATAAAGTGACATTCTGGAGACCTTGAGAAACAAAAAGAAGCGTGGGAAGACCTAAAAAGAGATGGATAGACGATATAACTGCTGTAGCTGGAAAGCAGTGGATGAGAATTGCAAAAGATAGGGAAGCGTGGAAGCAATTGGAGGAGGCCTATATCCAACATTGGATAAATGAAGCCTGAAGAAGAAGAAGAAGACGTGCATAAATCTGGACTATATTAAGTTTTCTGTGTGTTGACTTTAGCTGGAGTAACATTACTCGTTCAGAATAAGACATGCAATTCATATAGGAGCTACAGTAAATACACAATAAAGATTCACTAGGAATGAACAAACAAATATATTAAGAATATTACGAGGAGCACTTACAAATCATGATTTTAACAATGTATAAACGTACTTTACGCCGAATAATTTCTTCTGCGGCTTCTTACGTGTCTTACCGTGATTCCCAGTACATCTGTATTTTGAATATACTGTAGATATTTTCTTTTTGAGAATAACAGCTACGCCATGACTGTGTCGGCAATCATTACTTACAAAGAAATATGAAAATTTACAGCTTTGGTAAAGTTTTAACATTTTAAAGTTTTAACATAACAACAGTTTTTAAAATTTTATTAGAAAACTTTGAATGACATCCTATATCCTATTATTTTACTTTCATATGCTACATTTTTGTTTAAGATTCCACGATTGAACAGAAAATTAAAACGTTGCATGAAATGCTAGAAAAATTTGAGCAATTGCCTCCTAGTTGTAAGTCTAGGGCGGAACCGGTGAAAAAATATATCGAAAACCATATGGAAATGTTAAATAAAGTTCAAGAAACGAAACCTCGTAGAATAAATAAAGGTGAGTATTTTTTATTTTACAAAACTATGACGAATTTCACAGAAAATATCCGTTTTTTTTTCAATGCAAAAAACATTAATTTTGAAATTTGAGAACACACTCTTGGGGCCAATTATTTTTACTAAAAAAAAATAATGCCGCTACCCGAAACGAGTGTAATCGTGCCTTTTTTGCGGGATTTCAAAAATTGAATAAAAAAATAATAGTGATTTTGGAGGGTGAAAATGTCGCTACTTAAAATCACTGTAGAATCTGTTCAAAAACACCTAAAACCCTTTAAAAAAAAACAAAAATGAAGGTCTTTTTTATAATTTTAAAATAGTCTTTCAAACAATACATTGCCAAAGATTTTATAGTTGATCACCCTTTTCATGCAACGGACATATTATTCCCTTTAGCCACTCTTCTGGTACCAATTTATTCTGCCATATAGGTACTATTAGTTATGGATTGCTGCAAAAAGTTGATCACCACCTTTTTTTATATATTTCCAAATAGATTTCATTAATAATCCTGAGGCTTTATTGTCTTCGAGTTTTAGGATGGCATTTGACACTTCTTTTCTCGTTTGCTCTTCACTGTCTAGTTGACGTTGTAGATTTTGTTGATTGTTCATGTTGTAACATACTTCAATATTGTTTATATTTAGGTGTTCGCTAAAATGTTGTACCCATCACGGATATTATTTAAGGATTTGTAGTATTTCCTCGTTTCATTTTTATCGAATAAACTTTTGTATCTCATTGTGAGTCTTCTGTTCGTATTCCCTCTTCTTACGTCGATAGATACATTTTCCTCTCTTTTAAGACGTCTATACTCTTCTTCTTCCTCTATGTAAAACCTGAGTCGATGGTTTTTTGATATGGTACGTTCTTTCTATTTGTAGCCATTTCGCATCCATGATCAAACCAATGATTTCATTGTTCTGACTTGATTTTGCCTAATATTTCAACCGATTTCTGTAACACAATATCTCATATATTTGCCCATAGTTGGTTAATATCTTCTTCTTTTTCTTGTTTCTTTTTCCTCATTTTTGATCTTCTATTTGCTGTCTGTATTTAAGTATGAAACTCCTTAACTATCTCAAAAACGGCTTGTACGATTTTTATAGAATTTGGTGCATAGGGGTCATATAATATGGCCAATATTATAGTGGTACTTATATTGTTATCAGATCTTTAGCTTTTCTGGAAATAGAATGAATTTTATTTCAAATGGAGATCCTGTATATCAGTATATCCTAAAATGTACCTTTTTGAAATGCCCCCATTCCGGGTAACGCCAACATTTTCTTCTTTAGTTTTGAGTACTAAAGAATAAAAAAAAATTGGTTTTAAGAGTCTTAAAGTCTCAAATTTCAAAATCAATATTTTTGGAGTCAAAAAAGTGGATATTTTCCGTGGATATTATACTTTATATCGTTTTTAATTTTATTGTAGAATCAGAAATTAACAACTTTCATGCCCACCAACAACCGATTAGGAGAAACGACCAATACGAAGAAAGTAGTGATCTTATAGAGAAACAATTGCACAGTGTCGGTCTAGGCAAAAATCCTAATTTTAAACCCAATTTTGACATAAATCATTTAGTTCAGCAATCGAGAATTGGCCAAAAGGTAGAGAAGGAAGGTAAGGTAAATATTGAATGTTGTGTAAATATTTCTTTTACTTGTCTCTTATTTCTTCTCCTCTTTAGTTTTTAGTATGTTTTATTTTTTCCTAAAACCTCCGTATCATCTTGGAATGACAATTTTTATTAAGTTTTACGGCATTTTTACTTTTACAACGCATTTCTTTATCTATAGTTACCTATCTAGTTTATTTTGATTTATTTAAGAAAAAGAGAAAATGCCGAGGCATTTTAATTTTTCAAATATGGATATGAGAAGAAATATTTAAAAAGATACCCAAACAGGCTACAACCTAATCACCAAACTTTCAAACATCTCTTTCGGCAAAAATGTTTTGAGAAAGTGTTTTATTTCGTCCTAAAGGTGACAACTTAGGTCGACCGAAAATCATTACGCATGGTCAGGAAGATGAAGTAGTGGCTCGCTTTTACGACGATTCTTAAGCAAGTACACAACGTTCAACTTCAGCGTTAGGTTAGGTTAGGTTAGGTTAAAACCACAGCTTTAAAAATCCTACACCGTAAGCATTTTCATCCTTACCATTTTACAAGTGTGAAAAATCTATTGTCAGTAGATTTACCTTTAGGATGAAGATTTGTAAATGATGTCCGAAACAGGTAAAATCTTGACCACTACTTCGTCGATAGAACATTTTTACGAACGAAGCTACATTTACGCACCATGGTCTTTTAATTTAAAGAAAAATCATTTCTGAGATACCGTATATACTCATATTAAGAGAGAAAGGCATTTTTAACATAAATGATAAATAAACGTATGATTTGAAACCATTGGTAATAATTTTTTTCGGACATGCGAATTACCTCGTACTTTGAATGGAGAGATTAATTTACATTTTTTACAAAATGATTTGATTTGAAAGAATTTTCATCAAACTTAAAGTAAAATATGTGGTTTATGCAATATGGTACACCCACACATTCTAAAGAGAGGGCAGTGAGAACATCCTTAAATACAACTTTCCTGAACGTTGGATTGGTCGTGGTAGTCATATTCCTTCGTCATGTGGTGAGATATTGATATAATTAGTTAATTCATAAAATATTCCAAAAGTACACTTATTATTATACTTATAATACGTATAATAAATACTGCAGTAGTTTTTTTAGAATTAATAATGGTATTGCATATAAATATGCTATTTGATAGAATTAATACTATTAATAAGAATATTAATATGAGAATAAAAGCCCCAGGTAAAGATGGAATTAATATGGAACTAATAAAATACGGGGGAAGGGAACTAAGAGGAAAAATACTGGCACTATTGAAAAATATATGTAAAGAAGAGAAAATGCCAGGTGACTGGGAGGTAGGACAGATCATAACAGTACATAAAAAGGGAGACCAACAAATCTGTGAAAATTATAGAGAAATAACATTACTAAATACAACATATAAAATATTGACATCAATAATAAAAAAGAGGTTATCAAAGATCACAAAGAAGACAGTAGGACAGCACCAATGTGGATTCACAGAAGGAAGATCTACAATAGATGCAATACACACAATAAAACAAATAATGGAAAAAGCAAACGAGTATAAATTAGAACTGGAAATGTTATTCATAGACTTCAAACAGGCATTTGATTCTATTAAAAGGAACGTATTAATGACAGCACTTAAAAAATTAAAAATTCCACATAAACTCAGAAACTTAATAGAAATGACAATGAGAACTACAAAAATAAGCATAAAGACACAAAGAGGAGAGACAGAGGAATTCAGTATAAATAAAGGGATGAAACAAGGAGATGCCTTATCAACAACGCTATTTAATCTAGCATTAGAATATGTACTGCGAAATATAAATAAAGGAAATCTCAGAACAAGAGGTGGTCAAATAATTGCATATGCAGATGATATTGCTATTATTGCAAAGAACAGAAAAATAATGAAAGAAATGCTTGAAGAAATAAAAGAGAAAGGGGAGGTAATGGGGCTAAGATTAAATCAAGAAAAGACAAAAATATTAAGATTAGGGAAAAAACCAATGAAGGAAAAGATCAAAATAGGAAGTTCCGAGTTTGAAGAAGTAGAATACTTCAAATACCTAGGAGTTACAATAAGTAAATCCGGAGAAAGGAAATCCGAAATAAAAGAAAAAATATTCGCAGCTTATAAAGCTTATTTTGCAAACAAAAGATCACTTAAAAGCAAAACACTGACTAAAAAAAGCAAGATGAGCATTTATAACACCATAATTAGACCAATATTATTATATGCAGGGGAAACAATGACGATGGTTAAAAAAGATGAAGAAGACTTAAGAATTGCAGAGAGAAAGATTATGAGAACCATACTAGGACCAATCAGAACAGAGCAAAATGAATATAGAAGCAGAACAAATGCAGAAATTAAGGAAGAACTTAAGGAAGACATCGTAACTAAAATAAAGCAATGCAGAGTTAGATGGTTAGGTCACATTTGGCGAGCAGGCGATGAGGCAGTGACATACGCAATGATAGAATAGAATCCAGGAGGAAGTAAGAGAAGGGGAAGACCGAGATCAAAGTGGCTGCAAGAAGTTGAAGAAGACCTCCAAAGGGCAGGAGTCAGTGAATGGAGAGGAATAACTAGAGACAGGAAAAAATGGAGAGACATTGTCAAGAAGATAAGATAAACAAAAAAAGACTGATCCACTTAAGAAATAGGATCTAGAAAGCATTTGCGGTTTAACCCCACGCTGGGGTGTATAGCCATTATATATATATATATATATATATATATATATATATATATATATATATATATATATATATATATATATATATATTTAATATGAGACGATCTTTTATGGAATGTATTGACAAATGAATTAAAGAAAATGATGGACATATCGAACATTTACTTTGACAAAAAGTTTAATGTTACCTGGTATAACTATTTATTATTTGGTATGTAAATACAATGTTTTCATTGTGACTTTAATTTTAGAAAAAACGTAAAGTGTTTGTTCTATTATTCTATTATTTTATCAAATCCTATTATATCGTGATAATATATTTTATCGTTATATTTTTTCGTTAACTATTAACTTTAAAGTTATTTCATACCAAAACTCAGAAGTATTGTGATTTTCTGTCGTTGTCTAGCTGGAGTAATTGCGTTAAATCAGAATTATCCAGCTAATTTTTAAAATACTATTATCTTGAAAACTGAATTTAAAAGGTATTAACAGGTATACTGGAGTGTGTGGTCACCTGTTACATGCAAGTAGGTTTAAAAGTGCTCTCTCGGAATAATTGTGAATTTGTACACTTTATTTAAATTAAAATTCTGGCAGACGCTATATCTATAGATGCAAAAAAGAGTTCGATTCGAAGGCGGTTCAGAAATATAACTCAATTCATATAATTAAGAGAAAAGATTAAAATTCTTAAATTATTGTTTAAAGTAAAAGTTTTTAGTATTATCAATTTTAACATATTAACTTTTTATATTGTAAGTAACGTTTTTGTGCCAAACAGTAATTACGGTTCGCTACAATAAAGGTTACCATACACAAAAATCGGCAGCAAAGTGGCGTTGGTGAATAAATATCGTTTTAATTTTCGGCTGTAAGAAAACTCGGAAAAACGGACTTACAAAAAAAGTAACTCGGTAGAAGTGACCCACATATAAACACCGATAAGGGTCGGAGATTCGATGGGTTGACTGGTCGACAACTCTTTTCGCGGTGTACGACGGGGAAGGAGATAAACAGCAAAATAACAAGAAAAGTCCAAGGAAAATATTGTAAGAATGGACAACGACGAATACTCTACAGATAAAGGAAAAAAAAGAAAAGGAGAAAATATAGATTTTTTTGTAAACAGCCAAAAACACCAAGAACTCCTACAAAACGAAAAACAACTGAATCTGAGAAATTAGACCAGATAGTAATAATGATGAAAGAAATGAACACAACTCAAAAAGATATAAAGCAAGAACAGAAAGAAATAAAAACTGAAATAAGAGAAATTAAAGACCAACAAAACAAAACAAACGAAGCTCTAATAAAATCGACAGTAGAAAACGAACAATTAAAAAAAGAAAATCAGGATATAAGAAAAGAGAATTCAAAAATAAGGAGAGAGTTACAAGAAATGAAAAAAGCAGTCGAAATAATCTAAAAAATAGAATAAAAAATACCATTGTTATGAATGGTCCAAAAATGGATACAAATGAACCAAGCATTCTAAAAGAAAGAATAAAAGGATTTTTTAATAAACATCTCAAATTGATATTACACCTACAACAGTTAAAGAAATAGACGAGAATACATGCGTAATAGAACTAATAAATGAAGAGGAAAAACACGAGATCATGGCAAAAAAATATAAACTAAAAAACTTCGTAGGAGAGAAAGTATTCATCAATGATGACTTGACTAGAGAAGAGAAAGAAAAGCAGAAACATCTAAGAAATTTTGCAAACAACGAAAAAGAGAAAGACAAAGACGTCAAAATTAGTTACAACAAGGTGTTAGTAAACCAAGAAGAATGGAGATGGAACAAAATAAAAAAAGAACTGGAAAAACATCCAAAAAACTAGAAAACTACACACACATAAGAGGAATATTGATAACGATCAAAGCAACGAAAAGGATCTGACAATGACGACCAGGGCGACGAATAGGAACAACAATAGGAAAAAGCACGATGCAAAGGTAAACAAGGATGAAAATAGGAAGAAGATGAAAGATATACCGCAGAAAAAAGGAGAGATAAAAATGAGAACATGGAACGTAAGAAGCATCAATGGAAAAGAGGTAGAACTTGTAGAAGAAATGATCAGACAAAAAATAGAAATATTAGGAATAACGGAAACGAAAATGAAAAGAAGAGGTTTTAAGAAGATACACAAAGGATATTGGTTATTTTGGGTAGGAGCTGATACAAAGGAGACAGCAAAAGAAGGCTTAGTGATAATAATTACACCGAATAGACTACAATACTTTATAGAAGAAACATAATGTTAACCATGGAATATTATCGCCGAAAATGAAACTGATAGACGAGGAAATATGGACAATAATAACAGCTTATGGAGGATAAAGATGCAAAAAAGGAAGAGAAGGATAAACTTTTCGAGGAGCTCCAAATGCAAATTGACAATGGGGAAGAAAATATAATTGCAATGGGATATCTAACCGGTAGAGTCGGAAATAATAACAATGGAATTGAGGAATGCATGGGAAAAGAACGAGAAGAAATACTAAACAAAAATGGTAAAAGAATAATAGAAATATGTATGGAGAATAAACTTGTTGTAACAAATACAACATTTAAACATAAAAAGAACACAAATACACGAGAGTACAAGTAAGCAGAAATGAAAAATCAATCATAGATTACTTTTTGGTAAGTAGCAACAAATGGAAAAGAGTACAAGACACGAAAGTGAAAAGAGGCTCAGAGATTGGCAGTGATCATCGTATATTAATTATGAGAATGAGAACAGCAAAAGAAAATGAAGAAAATAGGAGAAAAGTAGTAAATGAAAAAGTAAAAATCTACAAATTAAAAGAAGAAAGATTTAAGAAGATATTCCAAGAAAAATTAGACAATATTTTAAAAGATACGGCAAAAACTGCAAGTATAGAAGAAAAGTGGTAAAATCTCAAGACCAACTTAATCATAGCTGCTGAGGAAACTTGCGGGAAGACAAAAATAGCAAATACTAGCAAAAGGAGAACTGAGTGGTGGACGGACGAAATACTAAGGAATATAATAAACAAAAAGGAAAAATGAAAGAGAAATCTAAGTACAAAGCGCCATGACAACTGTAAGGCATATAAAGAAAAAAGAAAAGAGGTTAAAATAGCTGTGAAAGAAGAAAAAGAAAGGTCATGGAAAAAATTTGGACTAAAAATGAAAAATAATTATAGGGAAAATCAAAAACTCTTCTATGGCGCATTAAAACAGCTCAGACAAAAGAAAGAACAGATGATGCCGAATATAAAAGACAAGAATGGAAAGGTGATAACAGAAGAAAACCAAATAATGAAAAGATGGAGAGAACATTTCAAAGAGCTAACTCATACAGACGTAGACAACATAGTGGAGATAGAAGAAATAAATTAAGAACAAAAAGTAGAACCCATAAGAACAGAGAAACTAGAAAAGCCAATTGAAAGAGTTAAATTAGGCAAAGTACCAGGCAAGGATCATATCACCCGGGAAATGATAATATTCATGGGAATAGAGGGAGTGGACAGCATGAAAGAACTAATAAATGATATCATAAAGAGAGCAGAAATACCACAGGACTAGAAGAAAGACATTATACTACCAATACACAAAAAGGGCGACAAGAGAAACTGTAGTAATTACCGAGGTATTACTAGATCAAGTATTCCTGGAAAGGTATTCGCAAGAATAATAGAAATAAGAATTAAAACCCAAATAGAACTAACTATGGAAGATACACAATGTGGATTCAGGAAGGACAGAAGCACACAAGACCACATATTCACAAAAAGACAAGTAAGTGAGAAAATAATTAATAAAAATAGAGAAATACATATATGCTTTATTGATCTGGAAAAGGCGTTTGACAGAATCCAAAGAAAGAACGTATGGAGGACATTAAAGGAAAGAGTAGTTGACAGGATAGCAATTTATGTAAGAAAGGATATGCACAATAATAATACAAATACGGTGAGAACCAATAACGAGGAATCCGAAGAATTTACTACAAGTCAAGGCATCAAACAGGGATGCGTGTTGAGCCCACTACTGTTCTCAGTGGTACTGGATGAAGTAATAAAGAAAGACAAGAGAAGAATAAAAAAACTAACATTAGGATACTGACAAATAAAACAGACTCAACTATAACAGCTTCTATTTGCAGACGGCATGGCTTTGATAGCAGAAACCAGAGAAGACCTACAGAACAACCATGAAATCCTAGAAGAGGAATTGACAAACATAAATATAAAGATAAATACAGAGGAAAAAAACAATGATAATTTCAAATAAGAGAAAGAAACACGCAATACAATTAAACGGAAAACAACTAGAACAAGTGGGACATTTTAAATACCTAGGAGTAATAATTGAATCAAACGGTAAACAAGACATGGAAATAAATGAGAGAATGGGACGAACAGGAAGCTTATTTAACACTATGAAAACAACATTTTTGGGGAAAAAAGAAATACCGGAGAAGGTGAAAACGGCAGTCGTTAAATCAGTAGTTAGACCTACAATCATGTATAATAGCGAGTCATGGACATTGACTGGGAGACAAAAATCTCGAGTCAATGCTATGGAAATGAGGTTCCTGAGGAAAATAGCAGACAGAAAGAGGACACACAAAATAAGAAATGAAAGAATCAGACAAAACCTTAAACTAGAACCAATAAACGAAAAAATAGAGGGGCAACTAAGATGGTTCGGGCACGTGTGTAGAATATCGAATGCAAGATTAACAAAACGACTGTTTGAAACGAGAGTGCAAGGGAAAAACAAACGAGGAAGACCAAGAGTTAGGTGGGTAGACGAAATCAGAAAAGAAGTGGAGAAGAAAGGATTGACATGGGGAAATGCATCACAACTACCACAAGACCGGAAAGCATGGAGACAACAGTGCAAAACTTAACTCCACCAGCCTTACACCTAACAGTAGAGAGGCTCAGGACTAAGTAAAAAAAAGTGACAGGTATACCTTTTTTTGTTAAAATAATGAATCTTTAATATTTTTCATCGCAAATAATAATTTATGCCCCGTATGTGTATATCAAATTATAATTCCCTATATTTAAAAGTACTCAGTTGTAAATTTTTATACATTAATCTTCACAAATATGAAAGGTATATCGAAACATAAAATTTAAATTACCGCTTTAACACCCTGTATCTTTCCTAATATCATCATTTTATTAAAGCAATTTGGCTTAAATCCTAAAATGTAACAAGAGAAGGAGAGAGAAGAATGATATCAAATGCAGAAATCAAGAAAATAAAAGTATCTCCGCTAAGAAAAGAATAGACTGGACACATATTATATTAAGACAACCAAGTAGAGATTTCATATCTGATCATAAATGAAATCAGTTAGGCTTCAAAGTAAACTACGCTATATAATGAGCGAAGTTAAATTTACATTACGAAATCATCACAATAAGAAGCTGCTAACATTACATTTTGATCGTATAAACAAACCAATAAAACTAAATACATAAATATAAATTTATAAAGGATTTGAAATAAATTTTTTGAAATATAAATCATGTTTTGCGGTTATAGGTACACTTAAATATTACATAATTCATCATGGCGGTTATTGTGCAGTTTAGGATACATCCAATATTTAGCATATTTTTGCACTTACCTTTAAAGAATTGTTGTCAAGACAATCACTAACATTATCTACCATCAAACACTTACTCACTACACAAAAAATACATTTTTGCACAAATTATTTAAGAAAAATATGAACATTTCAACAAACAACCGACGCGTTCTTGCTGAAAAACCGGATATTCCTTCGTCTCTCGGTATTAGAACAATAACAAGTTTTTATTGGCCCCGTCAAAACAATTGCTAAATCGGGCCTACTAGAAACAAACGCATTGTCAAAATTATAATGCGCAAAAACCCTTTATCACAGTATATCTAACAATTGTTGGGTATACTGTGGCTTTGCCCTGTTTATAACTTATATTAGGTTTGATAAAATAAAACCAAATAATTAAATAGTATTATTGTAAGGTAACGAGAACTACGAAAAGTTACATCAAAAAATTTAAGCAAATTATTATATATTCAAAAAAAACAAACGTTTAATTACAAAACAAAGAGTAAAAATTTTAAACGTAAAAATTGATCAAATTATTTTAAAAAATTTAAAACATTATCGCAAAACTAAGTTTTTTGACTTACTGTGTTTCGCTTGTAAACCGACAATATATTATACAGAGTGGTGGTTAAGTAATTGTACAAAAAGACACCGTATATTATGCACTTAAACATATTATTATTGAAATCAACTTGCCTTTATGAAATGTTGATATTAAAAAAGATACAGGGTGTTAAAGTGGAAATTTAAAATTGTATTTTTCGCTATAAATTTCACATGTGAATATTTATGGATAAAAATTTACAACTGAGTACTTTTGAATATGGGCAATTATATTTTGATACACACTTTGATGTAGCTGATACAGGGCGCCACATATGTGGCGCCGCAAAAAAGTTAATTTCAAATATATGTCACATATGTAGCATATGTGGTGCCCTCTGTCAGCTACATCAAAGTTTGCATCAAATTATAATTATTTGTATTCAAAAGTACTTAATTGTACATTTTTATACATAAATGTATACAAGCATGAAAGTTATAGCGAAAAGTAATATTTTTAATTTCCAATTTAACACCCTGTATCTTTCTTAATATCAATATTTTATTAGGGCAAGTTGGCTTAAATCGTAATATTTTAAAGTGCGGAATCTACGGTTTCTTTTTGTACAATTACTTAAGGACGACCCTGTATATGAAAAAATTTTAGAAATATTTTAAATTTTGTATCGAATTTTTTAATCCTTGGCATTTGACTGATTGAAAGCTTGATTAAAATTTATTAACAACTTAAAACTTTACACATTGTATTAATTTCCAGATCAGGTCGAAAATCCGAGATTGGAGAAAAAGATCAAACGAGATTTAAACAGGGACACTTCAAAAAATTACGAAAAACTTGTTGAAGCTATTAGAAAAGAAAGAATCAAACGAGAGGCTAAGAGGAGGATAGCAACATCATTTGGTAGACTTGATATGACTGACTACGAGGGTAAATCATCAAATAAAGCATTTAGAGATGTGTTCGATACACCGTTAGTTTATGTTTTATAATTTTTACACTTATTTAAATATTTTATAGATCTAACAAGATTATAATTGCAAATATCTGAAATATATATTCTTAGTTACTTTCTTTTAGTTTATTATTCACTTGTATCATATATCTTGATCATGTAGTCACAAGGATACTTGTGGGAGAGTTTTCAGTCAAAATTTATAAAAAAAAAGAAAATAAAGGAAAAGGATACTTGCTACTTTATCCTTTATTGCAGACGTTTCGTATATGAATCTATATACATCATCAATCCATCTAAAATTTGTGCCATGAAAGGTTCAGTTTGTTTTTAAGAAAAAACAGAATTAAGTCAATTTTTCATACAAAACACACAGAATATGTTAAAAAGTGTATGAAAAGTTGAGTAAACGAACTATCTAGCATGGAAAACAAACGGAATTCCAAAAGCACTGATAGTGTGATTTATTAATCTTTAATATGTATAATACTTCATCTTAGGTAGAATTATTTGGTCACGTTGTTTGAAATTAAAAAAGAGAATTGTTACCAGCGAAATCACCAAGCTACCTCTTAAATAATATACGAACGGAAGAGAGAATCCAACAGGTCGTTGCTTACAAATGTGTAGCTACTTTATCCCGAATTCACACGATCAAGAAAGACATTAAGTTTGACATTAAATTGATCATACTAGGGTGCGAAGCTCCCTGTACCTAATCCACTTGTACCTAATCCTTTTCTGAATCCCATCTGTGTATCGTTAATATCGATATCTAACTTTTGATAGATTCTTTTGTGGATGACTCTAAGAAATATTTTAAGCAGATGACTCATCTTCGATAATTTGAACATTGCATTGCTTTAGTTTTCTTCGGTATGGTGACAAACGTAGACAGCAACCATTCTTCAGGTATTATACCAGTACTGTATATTGTATTAAATAGATGTAATATTATTATATCATTCAAAAGTTTCAACAGTTCTGTAGGAATTTCATGAGGTCCATTTGCTTTTCCATTTCTAGCGTTTCTTATTGCGTATTCTACTTCTTCTTTCAATATGTCTGGCCCAGTTGCATTGATTATCTGAGTTAAGTTATTTCTATCGTCTTCAAATAATTCATTCAGGTATTCTGTCCATCTTTTTATTTTATTCTCTAGATTTACAATAAGATATTCATCTTTATCTTTAAGTTTACCCATTTGGTATATTTTATGCTTCCTGTTATGTCTTTTACTTTTTTGTGCACATTGAATGCATCGTACTTTTTCTTATAGGTTTCCATTTCTTCACACTGTTCTTTAATCCACGCCTTTTTGCCTTCTTTTATTCTCTTTTTGTGTTTGTTTATCTCTTTGAATATTATACAATACTATACAAATTATTTAAAATAACATTGTTGTCGACCTAGTTTCATTTTTTTTAATAAATTGTTCAAACATTTAATTTTTGATATAAACAATGAATTTGCCGTCATGAAACGCCATTGATAAATTAAAATAATTAAAAATTTCGATAATATAATGTAATCAATATAAATGTTTTCTATAATTTCATCACATACCATATGAAAATTACTTTTGTAAATATAAATGTATTTTATTGATTATTTTATTACCTTTTTATTTATTTTTGTTTATTGTTTATTTAGTTAATCTACTCGTGTTGGCTAATAAAAACACTGGGCAAAATCATATCCAAAATACAACACATTTCCAGCTGCACAGCACATTCATATATTCTATTTATATGTTTGTGCTGACTCATCAGTTCCTAATTGAATGTCAGATATCTATGAGATTTTCCAGCTTTTCCTCAGTTTTCCACATCGGGCATCCCTCCGAGGACTAAGCAGGCCGTGATACAATTATATGGGGTTAAAAGATTTAGAGGTAATACCTGTTTTGGGCCCCTATGAGAAATCCATCTTTGATACAAAAATAAATGAAATACGTTTCACGATCTGTTGTTTTCGTTCGGATATGAATTGTGGCAAAGATAGTAAAAATTGAAACAGTGTAATAAATCCATAAATTTATATTAAATTTATTAGTTTATTTTTAAAATGTACACTTAATAAAACTGTTTGTTTTAAAAAATATACTTTTTAGGAATAGTCCAGAATATGTATAATTAAAATTACATATTTGTGACGTTAAGACTTCTTGTCCAGAAATAGGTTTAAAAAAACCTATGAAATATAAAAATAATGTAACTTATCAATTGTAAGTTTGGTCCAAAAGCTCATTAAGTCAAAATAGTTCATTTCGAAAAAATTGCATGTACAAGTAGTAATGTATTTTATTATTTATTATATTATTCGTCCATGTGATAACCAATGTTTAAAATATTTTTTTCTTCATTTGAATATTAATTTCTGTAAAAAATGAGAACAAACTCATACAAATACTTATTGTATATGTACAAATACTCATACAAAAAAACTGTATTTTGAGAACGATTTCCTAAATCGTTCTTGTAAATCGAAACGTCAAAAAAAAAGTGTTTACAACTGAAATTGTGGTTTATTCCCATTAAAGATAGTAAATAATCTCTTGTGAGTACTGCGAGAAATCGTACATAGACCAGACCAATCGAAGAATATAGGTAAGACGAGAAGAACATCAAAATACTATCGAAAGAAAAGACTTTAATCCTACCACAATATGCCATAAAAATGACATTAAACAACGATGCCAGCGAACATTAGAAATAGAACATAGAGTCTAATCAGGGAGGCAATAGAAATTAAAAACATCTTAAATGTAAGAGATAATGGCCAAAGACTTTAAGCGCAGCAAGTATACAAGCGAAGCACATGGCACCCTAGATATTATTATTATTATAATATAAGCGAGGGCAGAGGAACTAAGTCCCTATTATGCCCAAAATCAAAGAAATTTCATTAATCACCTACTAGTAAATAACAAAAATTACAACTAAAAGAAATAAAATTACAATTTTTGGTTTAAAAGAAAAACAATATTTTAACTATAATATAAAACTGTCGAGTCTGTTTTTGAACGAGTTGGTAGAGGAAGCGGAGACAATGTTGTCGTTGAGATTATTCCAGCACTCAAAAACTCTATTTGGAAGAAAGTTCTGTCTTTGTCTAATAGAAAAATTTTCTTTCTTTAGTTTATATTGATGACCTCTGAGGCGTTCATCTTGGTTTATGATAAATATTTCATCGAGGTTTCCAAAATTGAATTTTAGTATTTTGAATGTTGTAATTAAGTCTCCACGTTGTCGGCGTAGTTCAAACGTAGTTAGGTTAGCCATACAAAGTCTTTCTGTATAAGACGGTCTTCTCGGTCCCAAAGAAATTCAAGTGGCTTTTTTTTGAACGTTTTCCAACAGTCTTATCTCGAACCCGATCGGGATACCACGTTGGTCCAGCGTATTCAAGTATGGGTCTTACGTACAAAGTGTAAAGTTTGCAAAATGATTGCATTGAAACTCCCGAAAAACACCTCCGAATAAGATACAGTCTGGAGTTTGCACGTTTACAAATAGAGGTAATATGATCGGACCAAGTTAGGCTGCTGTTCACAATAACACCAAGATCGTTATACGAAAACACAGATTCTAATGGCTGCCCGTTAACAAAGTACGGCAAAAGTGGGTTATTTTTGCCAATTCGAAGCACTACACAGTTTTCCGCGTTTAAGGGTAGTAACCACTGGGAACACCAAGTTAAAATAGAGTCCAAGTCCATTTGGAGGGTTAGCTGGTTTGTGTTTGGATTGGCATATATTTTTGTGTCGTCAGCGTAAAACGATATTTTACTTGAGACATAATAAGTAATATCGCTGGTGTAAACCGTAAAAAGCAGAGGTCCAAGGATAGAACCCTGAGGCACTCCACTTTCCACTAACCTGTCCTGTGAGAAAGATTCGCCAACTCTAACTTTGTAATATCGATCTGTCAGGTAATCATCTATCCAACGAAGTAAAATACCGCGAAATCCGAAATGTTCTAGCTTATGTAGAAGTCTGCGCTTAGGTACACGGTCAAAGGCTTTAGAAAATCTAGATAAACAACGTCGACCGGCTGCGAACTGTTAAGGGATGAGGTCCAGTCGTTAACACAGTGTAGGAGATTGGTTAGAGCGACCGGAGACAAATCCATGTTGTTGTGTTGGAATAACATGTTCCTGGAGAAGGAATTTGGTCATCTCCTCGGAAATAATGGCTTCCATAACTTTGGCAACTACTGGCAGCAAGCAAATCGGACGATAATTGTTGGAGTCGAGTTTGTTGCCTTTTTTAAAAATAGGGGTAACGGAAGCTAATTTCCAACTAGGGGGTAAGGAGTTTTGGATGAAAGAGGTTTTCAGAATTAACGTTAAGGGTATTGCAAGCGTGTCTGCGCACCTTTTTAACAGTTTTGGTGTTAAACCATCTAAACCAGGTGAAGCGGCCGTGCGAAGTTTAATTAAGTGTTGTTTGACATGATCCACTGTGAATTCAACTTGCTGTAAGGATGCGCCGACACGATTACAGTTAACAGCAGGTAGATAACCATCATTTAATTCTTTAGTAAAAACCTGTGAAAATGCTAAAGAGAGAGTTTCGGAAGATTCTTTGTCAGAAGAGCATAAAGTCTGGTTGGATTTTTGAAGTAGCGGAATGGAAACTTTAGATGTCATGGAGGAACGTATGTATTTATAGACTTTTTTAATGTTACCACTTTCAATAACGTTTGCTTCAAAATTTTGTCTTAGGGTTTTTAGATATGTTTTTAAGTTATTTGAAAATCTGCGGTGGCTTTGGAAATCACTAAGAAGCCCGGTGTGTATAAATTTTCGCCATAGATGTCGTTTGTGATTGATTTGTTTAATTGCTGTTCGATTTATCCAGGGTTTGAGGTGGTTTTTATAACTCTTACGGAAAATAGTATTTGTAGAAATTATATTGTGGACTTTATCGAGAAATGCAGTCCACATTAATGAGGGGTCGTTTAAGTCTGCAAAAAATAAATGCCAGTCGATTTGAGAGAGTTCAGTGTCAACTTAAGAAAAGTCGGTAGTAGCATATGTTACAATGTTATTTTTGCGGGGTAACATTTGATTAAACTGGATGTGAGCCGTTATAACTGCATGATCTGACTTTCCTATGGGAGAACTGACTTCGAGGGATGAAATCAGATGTTCGTCATTATTAAGCACTAGATCTAAAGTAGAAGGTTGGTTATTATTCCTAAATCTAATAGGTTCTGTAATGAGTTGTATCAGGTTTGAATTTACTACAAAGCTTTTAAATAAATTATGAGCGTTTTCGGCGTCAGATAATGAAGTTATTGGCCAGGTGATCTCTGGGAAATTAAAATCTCCAGTAATGATAAGATTATCATATTATATTATTAGATTATATTGAGGGGACCGACTCCGATTAAGCGATTAGATCAAGTTAGAAAAACTGTCGACCTACTCAACGCTCTGTGTGTAACATTTTCACGGACGAAAGCTGAAATATTTATATACACACATAAAATACATACATTTGGCTTATGATTGAATACAGAGCAAACATCTAGGCTTTGCTCGATTGAGCAGAGCTTAGATGTTTGCCTAAAATCAACAGCACGTTTATAATTATAACTCAAATATAAATAGTAATTTGTTGTTACGATAAATTTGACTCATAACAGTAAACATATTATTTCGAATTATACTCCATTCAAGTCTTGCCTAGATCATACACCAGCCGGCAGAAACCTCAGGTAATAACCACGGGTCTCCTATTATCCCTGCGATTCGAAATTTATAGAAGAAGGTCGAATGAGAACCTGTCTGCCTTCGATGGGCTTCGCGAGAGTTCAGCAAAGATCACCACCCTTCGAGAGAACTCTGAGATAACAGTTGATTAATATATTACATGACATCTGTATTTGAAAAGAGGTCAGTCCGAAAATATAATTGTAACGGGTAATAAATATTGCAAATAAATAATATAAATTGAAGTAGTTGCGTTCTAGTTTTTATTGATAGGTGTAAAACTGTAATAAATATATAAAGATTCTAATAAACTTGTAAGTTTTATAAATGTAGAACTTTTGATAATAAATAAAGACAATAAATTAGATAAATAAAAACAGTTCATTGTTATTACTAATAGTTAGGCAATCCAAATTACCTACTTAGAAATTCAAAAAGATTTTATTAGGCATCTACGTAGAAACTCGGGGCTGACACGACATGGAAGATCTGACATGCTGCGTTTTAGTTGACCGATTTAGATAAAAAAATCACTCAAATGGTGGGAAAAGTCTTTTTTAGGCTCACATTCGTAGCGGCTGTTAATAGTTGGATTATTTACAACCAACTAAATCGCAAGACAATTTTGGAGGACCTACCAGCTTTTTCAAAAACCACATTTTGTATGCTACTAATTGATATAGGTTTTGAAGATGAAAAAAGAGATCGAGATTAACATCGACATCGACAAATTAAAACATTGAAGAAGAAGGATAATGTAAACCTTGTTTGTATCGATGAGGAATGAGGGGACACAATGATTAAGAATCCACGAGATGCCTTCATAAAAGTGTTCTCTACTGGACTGAAAGTTCCAACCCAACGAGGTGCTGGGTTTGTTCTTTTTAATACTGGAAGCAAAACCTATTTTGTGACATGAGCTGAATTAACTTTCTTGGTCAAGAAAGAAACCGTTGATTATCACGACAAAATGGACGGGGATCTACATGAAGAATGGTTTGAGAAGACGTTAATTCCAAACTTGCCGAACAGCAAAGAAAACGTTGTCGTTTTAAATAACGAACCATACCCCTCCCACTCTTTTGATTTCTTAAAAAAATTGTGAACCAAAAGGCAAATCAAGGATTGGCTAATCTAAAAGTACATTTTCTTCGTGGAAGATTATATCAAAAGTGAATTACTGGATACAGCTGCCGCATTTAGAGATGAGTATGACAAGTACAAAATTGAAAGAATTGCGGGAAAATATGGCCTTACGATTTTAAAGCTGCCGCCTTACCATTGCGAGCTGAACCCGATTGAGATGATGTGGAGTCAAGTGAAAAGGTATGGAACTTCAAACAACATCGATTTTAACCATCCGTTAGTCGCTATCGGTGCCACACACCGACGACAGAATTATTCATTCAGGATTTACAAATACCTGCTGTTATTTTTCTATCGCCACTTTCTGTACCTCAAGAAAAAAAGAAACACGAACACAAATGATATGTCAAATGTGTCAGGCCAAGGTCAGGTCAGGTGTCAAAATGCTTTACTCCTTACTATTTATAAAAATGTTTTGTTACTTATACGTTACTGTTACTTATTTTGTTAATTATTAATAATTAAATTCAAAAGAAAATTATTTTTAAGGTTTTTATTTCGTATAATAAAAGGTTGAAACCCATTAAAAACGATACCAGTGGGACCATATATCCCATTTCGATAACATTGGGATATATGGTCCCACTAAAAAAACATTGTAGCATTATATCCTAGGATAAAAGGACTCCAAACTTAATTAATAAAATATTAATGTGATCAAACGCATCCGTAGAACCGCATTATATGGCAAAATGATAAATATTACCATTCTGTCTCCGGCTTCCATATAACATGTAGCTTCTCCATTTTTAAAAATTTTAAAGTGTTTGTTTGTCTTTGTGTATTGTATTGTTATGTCCAAATTTACATGTATGACATTCTGCTCATGTCGGATAGGCCACAACTGACGAAATGCCCCTGAGGATGATCTATTGATCGAAAGTACTTGGACAAGATTTAATTAATTACTGTGTTCGATATTTGCCTTGTATACCATCAAATGATAAATATTAGTTTTTGGTGAGAAGAAGAAAAAGTAGGGTCGAACGGCAAAACTACTGAGATAAGAGATAGTATTTTTAGTATCACTACTATATTAGTATCACTACTTTAGTATATTACATCAAAAGATGATAAACATTTTAAAAGAGACAGACCTGGATGACAAAGACCTCAGAATAATTTCAGAACTCTACTGGAATCAGATCGCATACATGAAAATTAACGGAGAAAAAACAGATCACATAAAAATACTACGTGGAGTTAGACAGGGATGTATCCTATCGCCGTTGATATTTAATATGTACTCAGAGAAAATTTTTAACGAGGCTCTTTACGGAATAGACGAAGGCATCCTTCTAAATGGTGAAAGAGTAAACAATGTTAGATATGCCGATGACACCATGGTGATAGCAGATAGTTTAGAGGGACTTCAGAGGCTAATGGACAGAATAAACGAGTACAGTCAACAGTACGGACTAAACATTAATATCCACAAAACGAAACAAATGATTATCAGCAAATAGAATATAAACGTATTGTTAAAACAGTATTGTTACCTGGGAACTATTATTAACGAACAGTGGAGCAATTTACAGCAAATAAAGTGCCGCATGGGAAAGGCAAGAACGGTCTTTAACAAAATGCGCGCCATCTTCAAAAGTCACAACATATCCCTTGATACAAAAATGAGACATTTGAGATTCTATGTTTTCTCTTTGTTGTTGTACGGGGCGGAGGCATGGACGCTTACAGACACCACTATTATCAAACTTGAAGCATTTGAGATGTGACTTTATAAAAGAATGCTGAGAATATCATGGACAGCAAGGATCACGAACAAGGAAGTTCTAGGAAAAATGAAGAAGGAACCAGAGATTGTGTTTACAATCAAACGCATAAAATTGCAATATCTGGGACACGTTATGAGAAATAAGCACCGTTACTCCCTGCTACAGTCTATATTGCAAGGTAAAGTCAAAGGTAAGCGATGACCGGTAGAAGGAGAATATCATGGCTGCGGAATTTAAGAACATGGTTTAAGAAAACCTCAACGGAGCTGTTTCGAGCCGCAGCGAGCAAGGTTATGATTGCCAATATGATTTCCAACATCCGAAACGGATAGGAACTAGAAGAAGAAGAAGAAGATTTTTAGTAATGTCTTCCAAATTTAATGAAGTTTTTCTGTAACAAAAAAAGATAATTTATTATTTTCTTGTTCAATTTTAATATTATTTGCTATTTTTATTGTGAATTAACCACAATTTCAGTTTAAACGCGGTTATGTTAACTTTTGATTTCCATTTGGAAAATCGTTCTGAATTTTGAAAACGACTTACATTTCTAGTTAAATACATAGCCCAAATCGTTGTCTCCGAACGTCAATAAAGACAAACTTAAAGTGTAGTTCTATGTTATTAATCCAGTCTGGAAATGTTAAAATTAAACAAAAATTTTCATCGAAAACTTTGCAAGAAGTTGTAATAAAGCCGACAAATAAGTAAAGTAGTATTCGCGAAGCGGCCCTTAAAGATATTCTTTCGGGATAAGGAGGAAAAGAACCCAGGTGTTCCCAGAGACTCGGGTATTATTTTTAGAAAATGAACTAAAGTGGATAAATCCAAGTTTTGCTTGGTTTCCCATTCCTGGAAAATTTCCAGGCGAGTTAAAAGCGTTGCCGGAGATTATTTGGTTATACTCGTATTATTTTAGTCCGTACTTTGTATATACATCCCGATCTAGCCAGTTCCCCGGTTTAAAGTGCAAGAAGAAATATTGCATGCAATTTAGAATTGAGTTCTGGAACTAAGAAGTCCGTTTTAGTTGTAAATTATTTGAAAAATTAAATAGAGCTACATATCGGCTTCCTAGAGCTGCACAAGTAAATTACATAAACTCACTCTAAGTCACTTTTAAAACTTTTTCATATCGAACTATGTTAGAGTATGAGTGTATAAATATTTTAAATTAAGGCATAATAATCCGGTCAATTTAGACGAAAAAATAGTTAATACTTAAATAAAAATGTTTATACAATACCTATCCTTAAACCTGGTAAACCACGTTCAGATTCAAACTCCTACCGTCCAGTATTATCATTAGGATGTGCAATGAGCAAAGTGATAGAAAAGTTAATTAACCAAAGTCTTATTTGGATACTTGAGCAAAGATCTGTTTTATCTAACAAACAAAGTGGATTTCGCAAAGATAGATCAACTCTAGACAACTTAGTTGACCTCGAGTCTGAAATACATGAAGCGATAGCAAATAATCAAAGCTGCATAGCGGGATTTTTTGATATAACCAGAGCATTTGATACAGTTTGGCACCATGGAATAATTAAAACTTTACAGAAATTAGGTATATAAGAAAATATGCTAAACTTCATCAATAACTTTTTAAAAGACCGGAGTTTCTAAGTAAAAGTAGATTATTACATTTTTAAAACAAGAATACACGAAAATGGAACCCCTCAAGGATCATCGATTAGTGTTACTCTTTTTCTTATTGCTATTAACAGTATTTTGGAAAACGATTCTTCACCGGTAAAAAGTTGGCTATACGCAGAACACTGATTAGACCCGTAGTAACCTATGGATGTGAAACTTGGGTAATGACGAAAAAAGATGAAGCCCAACTCAGGACATTCGAGAGAAAAATACTGAGGAAAGTATATGGCCTGGTACAGGAGGAAGATGGCACATGGAGAATCAGGAGAAACGATGAGGATAATGAGTTAAATGAAGGTTATGACATTGTAAGATTTGTGAAAAGTCAAAGACTGTCATGGCTGGGACATGTGCAGAGACAAAACGATGCAAAAACAACAAAGAAAATGTTACAGTGGAAGCCCATAGGAAGGCGAAAAAAAGGAAGGCCCAGAACGAGATGGTTGGATGACGTGGAAGACGACCTGAAAACAATGAACATAAGACAATGGAGAAAAAGGGCGCAAGAGAGATCTGAATGGAAGGACATAGCCAGACAGGCAAAGACCCATCCAGGGTTATGATGCCAAAAGAAGAAGAAGAAGATACGCAGATGATCTCATAATTTATTGTAAAGGAAGAAACATAGAACTAATTAAACAAACCTTACAAGATACTATTTCTGCATTAGAAAAATGGTCAATGAAATCTGGAATGAAATTTTGTTCCAACAAAAGT